ACATGATTTAGTGGGCATACTGGGGATGAGTTGATGGCTGGACTAGATAATCACAGAGCCCTTTTCCAACCTTAATGATTCTGTATCTTTTTCCTCTATCCTAGATGGAAAATTATTACCTTCTCTTATTCTGTCTTCTTTAAATACCATACAAAACCCACAAAAACAGTATGCTATCCAAATCCTATGCAAAATAGACCATAAGGGACAGAGGATGGACAGTGCACTGCTATTTGACTCACGCACTTTACAGACCTGTGAAATACTGTTGACTTGTCAGATACGTAACTGTTTTTGTTGTTGTTGTTTGTTGTTTGTTTGTTTGTTTGTTTGTTTGTTTGTTTGCCACGAGCGAGGAATATCCTTTTTTGTTTGATGCAAAGTTGCAAAATCTTTCATGGTAATGCTTCCAATCTGTTTTACTGATGGGAAAACAGAAATACACCTGAAAGACAGAAAGGTATTGTTTTTTAATTTTCATGTTTTCATCATGAAGCTAATTTGCAGATATGCCCTTTTTTCAGCCCCCAGTATCTATATAGTAGTTATTTTCTGGCTGATTGTTCAGTAAAATCCTAGGTGCTGTATTTTATTTATTATAGTAGTCATCCTAGATAATTACAGTTGTTTCATCTGACCCTGAAAATCTTCTGGAATATATCGCAGCTACCTGATACATATCTAGAAGTCCTTATATGGGAATAATCATCAGAAGACAAAAAGGCTTACTAACATTACCAGAGATGGAATATATGTTCTTTCCTGCAGAAAAATAACAAATTTAAGCTCTCCTTATAGCCAATGATGTTACTTCTTGGATAGAGATTTGGGGTCTCATGCTATTCTAGTGGAGAAGCCTCTCTTCCTCATTGTTTTCCAAAACAGTGTGCTGCCGCAGCTCCCTAGCAGCAGTAATTCAACAGAAGTTTTGCTGACAGGGACTGCTGGAGGGCATCTGGTCTGAGAAGCAACAGGAACTCCAGGCTGAAGGACAGGACTCAGCATGCAGTCGGTTTGTTTGCAGTATTTACTAGCTTAAGGCTTATTTATTAAAATGCAGCCAAAGTCAGGACGAAATTTTAAGCCTTAGAGTTGGTCAGGTATAATTCAAAGTAGACAGAAGCTATGTAGTTTATCCTGTGACATTGTTACTGGGCAACTTTTTTTTTTTTTTTTTTTTCCATGCTGAAGGAATAACTGGAGAAGTGTAGTTTCTCAGGGCTCCTGGTGGGAGTGATCCAGTTTGGTAGAAAGATACATCAATATTATCTACCAAATTTCTTCTCTGAGATTCACCAACCCTTCTTAGCCTAATCTCTGTAATGCCACCATTGATGTCAGTGGCAATGGAAGTCAAGTATTCAGCACCTTGGGAAATGAGATGATCTGGCATTAGTCAGACAGGAGTAAGCAATAGCAGGATGGAATTCAAGTGTCAGAAGGAACGCTGGTACCAGCCTTCTTCCTGGTTGTGTTTTTCTTCTGTTTTTGTTGTGAGTCCTTTGGGATTAGGCACAGCCTTTTGTAAATTACTAGAGATGACATGACTAGCTCCCTGAAGTAAAAACATTTGATTCACTTAAAACTAAATACTTCCTCTGTGCATTTCAATACAACAGTAACAATTAACAGACAGTGAAACAAACCTCTGCACCTTGCCTGAGCATTAAGTGAGCAGTTAACATCTGAGAGAGAGATTGGTTCTCCTGAGAGGATGTCTGACCACCTCTGCACTGAGAAGCTGGAAGGTGCCAGTAGCTCTGACTTCTGAAAGGGAGAAGCAAAGAGTGGCTGTATAACCCAGCACATCCATTAGTAGAGCCAGGCTCTCAAGGGAGGTTCTAACGTCAGTCAGTGCCCCAGGTGAGTCAGTAGAGGTCATCAGGGATTAATGAGTGTCCTGGCATGGAAAAACAAAGTTAACATTCAAATTATCATCTTAAAGATGAGCAATTCACAAATGGCCAGTGAAAGTGATGATGGCAGATTCATCGCTATTGCGGTGACCTATGCAGACAGTCTCACAGGAGAGATGAGATTTGGACTGGTACAGACTGCCTACGTAAATAATGCTGGTCCTGCAGATGGGAAGGATCCAAGTCCTATAAATCATTCAGAAATTTACTGAGCTTCCCCTAAAAACAAATTGGCTTTTTCATCCCTGCTTCTACTAGGGGAAAGTTTCACAGCCCTGTTCATTTGCCAGCTACAACTTCTTGTTTCTAAATTGCATTTATTCATGGACAATTATATGTAGTTGTTCTTGTGCCAATGTTGTACTTTCTTGTACCTTGCTCTTCTTCTTCCTTCCTGATGTTTTTCCTTTCAGTGTATTTATAGATATAGAGGGGATCTGATTGCTGTGTTTTGCTGATTTGTGTGCCAAGTTCCTTTAGATCTTTTCTTGAAATCAGCTTGCTGTTTCCTCATCTTTCCTTCGCAGCACCTGTTCCTCATTATCCAGCAATTTTCCATGGTATTCCTACTTTACTAAAGTCTAAATAAGCTTTTCTGCACTGTTCTTGTTTGAAAATAACATCCAATAATAACAGCAACAGCAACAAAAAACACACACAAAAGAACAATGCTATCATCTGTTTACTCAAACAGGGGTACCACCTAGCCTCATTCTCACATGCCAGGCATAGCCTACGGACTGGATATTGGGTTAGATTGGATACTAGGAAAAGGCTCCTCACCAGAAGGTGAAGCAGGCTCCCAGGGCAGTGATCATGGCCCCAAGCTGCCGGAGTTCAAGAAGCATTTTGACAGTGCTCTCAGATACAGGGTTTGATTTTGAGTGGTTCTGTGTGGAGCCAGTGGTTGGACTCAATGATCCTTATCAATCCTTTTCAACTCGGGATATTCTGTTTCCCCTGTTGCTGGTCAAAGGGATGGAGAAAAGTCAGGAGTGATGGAGTGGTGTTCAAACTGGGAAAAATGGCATGGAATGTAGGGAGGTGTTTTAATGTTTGGTTTTGCATCATACTACCCAAACTGGCAGGAAATCATATTAATTTTCCCCAAGGTGACTATTTTGCCAGTGATTGTAACTGGTAATTGACCCCCCCGCTCTTTATTTTGACCCACAAGACATTTTGCAATATTTTTTCCTGTTGTTTTGCTGAGGAGAATGGTTGAGAGAAAGGCTGGGACTTTGACTCTTAGCCAAGGATAACCCATCACAATTCCATGAGACAAAAATCTAAAAGAATTACCAGACAGCTATAGGAAGTCATTCTTAGATAAGTATACTGGAAGTGACATGAAGTAACATCATATTAATTCCTCCATACTGAGTACTATCCCATTTCACTGTTGTGGAAATCCACTAATACCATATTGGTGTGATTTTGAAATGCTGGAACTATGGATAAACCAGTTAGGGTTGTTGTTTTTTTTTTTTTTTCCAGTTAAACAATAAAAATATGGAAGGTTTTAAAACATAATTCTTGCACTTGTTTTGGAAGACATTAACACCAATAAAATTAATTCAAAACTTCCACCACTGTGCAAGAACAGTTAAAGGACTAGAAAGATCACACAGTTAAGCTTTGGTTGACAGTGTTTTTAAGTGGCTGTTGTGTGTTCAGAATTCTGTAAACTGAAGAACAAATGCAGTGTTTTAATTTCCAAGCTGCTGCCTCAAATGGATACCAAAAATTGCCAGAGATCATGCTGGGACTGTTTCCAGGTGGACAAGGACCTACAGGTTTGATTATGTATAGTAATGTGAGCTTTCTGCTGTGGGGGACCACAAGTGAGTTTCCACTGAAGATTTTTTTCTCTCGTCATCAAACCCCTTCCTTCAGCTTTTAACCCAAGAGAGAGAGATCTGGGTTGTTCACTACTACATAGCAAGTAAAGATTTGATTGGTAAGTGTAATCTCTATGAGCTGGTGTTTATTCAGCAATTCAAATAACTCTGGGCTTTCTAACAGTTCATTTCCATGTACTGTTGTATGTACTTTCCTGAAGAAGTAATTCAGCTGTCTTAAAGTCTTCAGGATAGACCTTTACAATTCTAATTTTTGTGTTTAGAGGCTGAACACAAATCAGGATGAAAATATCTCCAACCACTTGCAAGATAACCCTGTTGTGAGGAATTTATAAATGAACAGACCAAACACACTGTAGGAAGGAAAATGCAAAGAAAGAGGAATTGACGCTGCACGGTTTTTCAGCAGCTCAGTGGGAGAGCTGCAAATAAACAGTGGTGTCCTGAGCTACACAGGAGCTTGTATGCGCTGCCTGTTATTCCTTGCTTATGAAAGTGCTGACAAGGGAAAATTCTATAAGTTTCTTTCTCTGTTTGGACTGAGCTCATGTTTTCAAACTTTCTGAAGTGTCCTGCATCTTCTGTAATGAGCTGGTGAAACTGCTGGTGTTTTCTTCTCTTTTGTCATCCTTTTGTCATCCTTCACTTTAAAGTAGGAATCACCTACAGAATGGCAAATAACTAAAACACAACTGCTTTAGATATGATTAAATCTAATGACAATATGTTGTATTCCTGTATGGAACAGAATAATGATAATCCCTATGTATGAAATGAGTTTTTCCAGGTCTGAGATTAGAACATTTGTTTTCTTTCCGTAGAAGTTTCCTCTTCCCTTATTTTGTATTAAATATTTTTCTCTCTTTATTTGTCTCTGATCAGTGTCTGATCTCACTGCATTTTACCACAGATCTTTCTCGACTCCTCTTTTCCATACAGAAAGCCAAGATCTTTTTACAACCTTTCCTTATCAGTCACACATTTGGTCTCCATATCCACTCAGACTGCTGTAAAATAGGATGATCCTGATTAGCAGCAATATAAATTATAACTGTAGCTAAAAATTACACAGCAGTAGAAAAGGTTCAGTATTTCTGAGCATTTCGGTTTTTATAGGGGCTTTTGTTTGTCTATGGATACCTATGATGTTTTCTCAAAGCTTTTTTAAGTCAGATCAAGCCAACTGTGTAACATCATGCCATTTCTAATCCTTTCTTTGCAGGTATTACCAGATAAGAGCTGGACTGAAGATTCCATCCAGGATTCCCCACAGGCTGTTTGCTACAATTGCGGGACAGACAGGTAAACTGGTCCCTGAGGACTGAGACATGACTGCAGATGGTGTGGCACAGAGAAGGAGGATGTGTGTGGGGAATGGGTGAAGGATGGCTGTGAATTTCAGAGTCTGACCTGGATTTTCTTAATGATCTGTGGCTGCTCATGACTTCATTCTGGTGTGGGATGTTACTGAGTTAGATTTCAGGTGTACAGCAATGGTCCAGGAGAGTAGTGTGCAATCCAGATATTACTTATATATATTTTTTCTTTTCCTGGAGTTGCAAGACCTGGGGAGCCTTATGAATTGGGCTGGGACTGAAAGATGGACAAAACAAAGTTGTATACTGTGGGAAAACTGTTCATACAAAGACAATTCTTCACTTCTTGCTGTAAAAATGTACACAGTATTGTGTAATGTCTCCCTGATGCCCTATAGAAGTGGGAACATCTAAGTTAATGAACACTAGTGAGTGCTGACAGAAACCTTACCACATCCATGGCCAAGTTCAGATTGAAGGAAACTGATGCAGACTTGGATGTATAATCTTCAGTGTAAAGATATCCACTGATAGAGCAATGTCCTACTGTAAGTCAATTGCAGAGTTTTCTGTTAGATGTTCTCCATATATACCTTCATAATTTTCACATTTCTGGACACACATCACACCAATTGTCAAAACATCAATTAATTTATTACAACATTTTTGTTACCAGCATAGATTCTGTAAGTACTTGTAAAATTTAAACTGAATCTTCTCTGTTGGGATTCCATGTCAGAAAAGCAGTGGAAATTCATGCGCTCTTCTTTTGTATGTGATTTTCCTTGCTGACAGTGGAAGAAGTTGTTTTACTATTCTGTGAGATTCCTGGATGAAAATTGTGTCTGTTAATGACAGCTTGCACAGAAAAACCAATAGACTCCTTTTCAGTATTGCTCAGAGAGGACAAAAATCTGTGAATGCAAGATTGATGAGTTCTTGAGTTTGAATATTACATCAAACATAAAAATGTATTTTTTATTATTTTATTACTTTTTACATTTGAACTGATCCAATTTAATATTCTTTCATGGAATAAATGTTCGTATCCTTTAATATTTTTTTTCCAATTTGAAAGTCTGGTTCAATTAACTAAGATTTAATTATATATTGAAATATAAAATAATTATAAAACTATATTTTTATAAAATAGAAATAATTATAAAAAATCCAAAGATTTGCATTAAGGATGGCAATTTTATGTAAAGAATAAACTGAACTGTTTTCTCTCTTTATGTTTTAGTCAGGTCAGTATTTTCTTCTGCCTGATACACCTCAGTGTTCTGTTTCCTTTCACCTCTTCTCAAAACAATTCATACTACACATGAATAGGAGAGAGGTGAGGCAGGCAGAGTGGTTACAGAATTAGCTGCTGACTTGCACAGTGCTATTGAAATCCAGACTGGAGTTTAATAGCTTTATAGAGCTAACATCAAGACAGGGGGTTAAAGCTTTAAATGTTTTTTTCTTGGCTATCTATGCAAGTACTTCTTAATTGATTTCATAGGTCTGTGAGAGAGCATTATTTAATGGGGCTGAACTTAATGGCAAGCAGGCTATAATATTCTTCTAATTCTCATGCCAATGAACACTCTCTGAGTTTGGGTGTAGCTGGGATAGGAGGTAATTAAATTTCTTCCAGTATTTCCACAAGACATTTCTAGCATAGTAATACTATACTAATACAGGGTGGCATTATATAGAATCACAGAGTCATAGAATGACTTGAGTTGGAAGAAACCTCAAACGTTACACAGTTCCAACCCCCATGGTGTCGGCAGGGCTGCCAAACCAGTAAATCAGGCACTAGATCAGGCTGCCCAGTGACCTGTCCAACCTGGCCTTGAGCATTTCCAGAGATGGAAAATTTACATAGTGAATAAACTCCTAATTCACCAAAAAGAATGAAGGCAAAAGTAGTTGAGTTTGGTGTAAATGTAATCTTTTCCTTATCAGGTTCTTAGCATTATAAGAACTAAGTAAAACTTTCTAGAAATCATTAGTAGTAGTATTTCTCTTCCAGTGCATGAAATATTTTTAATTAACTTCTGTGGGATTTACAGTCCCACAGAAAACAACAAAGCTGTTAAAACTGACAGCATTAACAATGTTCAGTTTGCTACCTACTAGGTATTTTCAGCTGCATGATCAGAAAAGACATAGTTCTGAAGAATTCAGCAGAAGCCACCGTGTAGGAGTTGCCAGCATGCCCAGGGCAGAACTAGCAAGGTGTACAGGAGCTCTAATGAGCTATCACATGGTCCATAAGTTTGCTGCATCGTGACTATGTTGTAAGAAAAGAATGAGCTATGTACACCAGTTAAAACAATAGAAAACTGTGCTGAGGACCAGTATCCCTTGTACCTTGGCAATGTAGATCATTAAGGCTGCACATTATCTTGTGTTGACTCAGACTGTAGCATGTACATATATACAGGTAAATATAAATACATAAAAGTATATACAATTATTTAATACCTCTCACCACTATTAGTCACAGAACCACAGAATTGCAGGGATTGGAAGGGATCTCAAGAGATCATTGAATTCAACGCCTCTGCCATATAGGTTCCCTAGAATAGGTTGCATGGATAGGTGTCCAGGCAGGTCTTGAATATCTCCACAGAAGGAAACTCCACAATCTCTCTGGGCAACCTGTTCCAGTGTTTCATTACCCTTACTGTAAATAAGTTCTTCTGCATGTTGGCATAATACTTCTTTTGTTCAAATTTTAGGCCATTAATTCTTGTTCTATTGCTATGCACCACCAAGAAAAGATTGTGGTGCATTTCCTTAAAAAACTAAAGTAGACTGGTGACTAATGACTTCTTCAGTGCTGAAGAGGAGAAGGGGAGCAAGGCTGGCTGAGCACAGCCTTTCGTTTCTTTCATGTTTGTTTTGAAACCCCATGAGATTTAGCTTCATGTCTTTGAATAGGCATCATGACTGATGGAGCCTGCTTTTGGCTTAAGAAGAGAAAGCTATGCTTACTACTTTTTCTTGGCAATGACATGTACTTTATTAGTTTAAGCATCAGTTCTAAAGGGCTGAGCTGATGTAGACGTGTCTTAAAGCCAAACTCTAAAAGTGCCTTTTTGAGTGGAATTTTTTTTTCCTCTAGTGCTTTTCATCAGAATGGTGTATTAAAATTGTGGTACGATGATGTCTACCTGCAGCATACATTAGGCTGAATGTGCAAATGCAGACAAAGGATCTGGGAAAGTGAAAGTAGCATGTCATTGTAGCATATTAGTATAATTCACTCATTGGCTCACTTATTTCATGATAGGCTAAATGTCTTCCAGAAGTGTTTGAGCTATTGTATAAATTTTAGCACAGGAATTTGAAGAAGTATGAACATGCATTAAGTGTTTTCTAGGCTATAAGTAGAAGATACAAGGAGTTTTTTAAATATATTTTTAAAATATTTTTATTTTAAAATTTGGCTATGAGCATACAAGATCATTGGTGAATGGAAGAAATAATAATGAACTGAAGCATTTAAGATTAGCTGTTTTTACCTTAATTTCCTATAACATGAAAGAGTGGAGAGCAGTGGAGACCAGATACAGTACAGGTGGAGATTTCTTAAAGGAGGTGATATGTTGGGGTAAACAAAGGAAGTTGAATTACATTGTTGAAGAAGCCAGTGAAGACAAATCTCAATAAAGGTTTATTTTTGAGCTTTCTCTGCAGCATTTTGCAGTAGTATACGTGCCATCTGGACGCATTACTTTTTGGAAAGAGATACATCCTTTACTAGTGAAATTTGCTGAGATTTTGCCTTATGAACTGTTTTTAGATCCCCTGTATCTTATTCTCATACAACATAGCAATGAGTAGCTGCTTACCTTTTTATTACAGATAAGGGTAAAATATTATGTGAACATTAGGGAAGAATTACTTAGCATAGTTTATATCTAAAGAAATTACTTAGGACTTCGATTTGAGTCCAGGTTTCCTTTGCTTCTCCCCTGCAGAATCACCACATGACCAGTTTTCAAGAAGACTTTCTAAGCAGACAAATATTTTTGTCAACTTGGTCTGTAAATATGATAAGCAATGCAAAGTGTTTAAGAGAAGTTGTTACCTATCAGTCTAATCTTTAGTAGACTGTAGCAATATTACACCTAATTTTAGTCAGTTAAACTGGGCTATTTGCTAAGTGCAGAACGCCAAAGAGAGACAAGGAATGTGTGTTTCTTTGTTAGTTATCTCCAACAAGGCGATGGAGACAAGGTATGATATTACACATTAGATCTTTTGATGCCGTAGAGATGTTTCATGCACATCATGATTTCTTATAAAATGGTATAGCTGACATTAAGTTTCAAGGAAAAATTAACATTATATAAATGGGATGTGAGGAAAAGAAACTAGAAGAGAATATGAGAAAATGAAGGACATTACTGCAACCTGTGCCTGAGTTTTTCTAGACCAGTTCCTGGTCCACCATGCTAAATACATGCAACACAATTTTGCCTTTTTCTATAAATTAAATGTTAATTCTGTGACTATCTCAGACCTAATGTCAAGGGCCAACTATATTTATAATATGTTCCTTGGCCAACTATTTGTATCTGTTTTTAATAGACAATTACTGATCCTTATTTCTTCGTTACTGTTTGGACATTTCAAAGAAATTTCCACTGAAGGAGTTTTGCATTAGCTTTTAAAGAAAAAAACCTTCTCTTATAAAGTGTGTCTTAATACACTCAAAAGAGGCGTTTGTAACCGGTTGCTCATTAGAGCACAAAGAAACAGCACTGTGACTTGTGGAATAGTGTGAAATTGCAGTCATTAGTTTCAATAACTTTTTGAAAGATAATTTCTGCCTCCATTAAATGAAGATAAGTTTACTGCTTTTGAAACATGAGAAAGGGGGCTAGAGATTCAAATTTTTAGCAAATACATGTTTTTATTTTCAAGGCTTGTTAAATTAATCTGAAATAAATACATATTTTATATGTAAAATGAAGCATACCT